GAGTTTAGCAGTGAGTTTGTAGGACTACTGTACACATGCAGGAACTCTGGACTGTAAGCTATAACAAAGACTCAATATAGTCTGGAGAAGTTTTGACTTTTGCATCTGTTACTTTTGTTAAGATTTGTTTCCCTTAATATTAGCAACATTTGTGTGATTTTTATGTATGAATTAGATTTTTTTAGATGAGTTTTGTTACTCCAGATGACAAAAAAGCATAATATAAGAAATCAGAATGTCTAGTCTTTGAATTATTGATATTATATTGTTTTGAAGATTGCATTAACCGTTTTTGATGGAAAATGTTGCAAAAAGTTTAATATTTTTATGAAAATAGAAACAAATATATACCGTAAATTCCGGACTATAAGCCACTACTGTTTTCTCACACTTTGAACCCTGACGGCCTGAACTTGAAAACGTTCTTGAAGACGTGGACACCTGCGTCTTATATTCAGTTATGGCCTATATATGTACAATTTAAAACATTTTGTTAAAATTTTGTTGATGCACCGAATATTCAGGTGCACTCAATAGTCCGGAAAATACGGTATGTTGTAAACTTCTAAGTAAGAGTATATTATTGTACTTATTTTTTATATTTTTGTACTTTTTGATCCCTTTTTGTACTTTTGGTCCTGTTTTTGTCCCCCTTCTGAAACTTCTACTTCTGATACCTCAACTACCACTTTAAAACCCAACGTTACTTCTCAAATTGTTATCAGTATACTCAATTGTTGTCAGTATTGCCCTACCCCAGCCCTATTCTTACCAATTAAATTCAAAACTAGTCAAATCATAAGTCTGATTTCTGAAGTCAATTGAAGAAATGTGTATATTATTTTTCTCAGTTTGTCCTACATCTCCTTAAGTGTAGCCACACCTCTTGTGCACCATATGTTTTGGGGTAAGGAAATATTTGGGGCCTCTGTAGGATATTAAATACTAGCATAATATGTAAGTGGTGGCTCCCAGCGGTGTCCAGTTTCAGGGCGTGTGTTTGGGTTGGCCCAGAGGAGGTCCGTGTGAGGAGATACAGACAAGACTGTGGCTGTGAAATCAAATAAATCAGCGCTATGCTTCAGTGTAAAGGTGCACTGTGCAACTTTTGGGGGGAAGGGTCCATCACCTGCTTGTATCCGTGGAGAATTATTTCACAGTATTGCGTTAAACTTGTATAACTTACATTTATTTAAGTATGGGGGATTTTATTGTCTTGAAAAATATGCATTCTAAGGCTACGTTTATATGATGACTGTCTGAACAGAAGACGCAAAAATGGCGCCGCATCTTCACTTTTTATTCCGCGTTTAGACGAGCGTTTTCGGGAGGTGTCGCAAAAGTGTGTGGAATTCGATTGAGTATGCATATGTATGTGACGTAAACGTGTACGCAATGAGAGCAGATCTGACCAGAGTTTTGCGTCTTGGGCAGTGTAGAAGGAAACATTACGGAGGAGAGTATTCAACTTTTCCACTCTGGAGGGTGGTCTCACATTTTTGCATTTTTAAGCCCCAAAAACGGCGTCACCATCTAAACGAAAGGCACTTCCAATAAAATATTTTGTAATTTTTACCCGCATGCTTTCTCGTGTACACAGGCCCTTAGCTGGGAGCACGTTCACGTCGCAGATCTGACCTGTAACTTGGCCTTGCAACATCACCTGCTTGACTCCATGGAGATTCCTGTTTAATGTCATGGCATGAAACATTTCTAGCCTGATTCATCAGCCGGTTTCACTTTGTAGAAACTGTCTGACCTTGCAGTGTTAGAATTTGTTTGCTTGACAGTAGGCGGGTACTTTTTCCATTTAACCAATCGCTGTTATTTGGTCGTGACATATGTAATGCGCCACTAACGGGGCTAACTGGTATATTAAACTTTTTCCAAATCCCGTAGGAAGAAGGGCAATAACGTCTTTCCCCTTGATAAAATTCACCAAACATTCTCTTTGTTAGGGCTTTAAATCCTCAATCTCGGGAATCATTGACAACACAGAATACATGGCTCTTTGCTGATTGGCTGGTGCCTGAACTCACACTTCCGGGTTTTTGTGAACCGTCTAGTGTAATGAAATGGATTGGAGGCACTAGATGGCGCCAGCCTGGCTAGCACATTTCAGCAATAGCATCTTCATGGAGACGAGCAGTCAAGCTTCCATCAGAAAAGTTGCACAGTGTAGCTTATTAACAAGTGGTATTGCAAAAGTTTTACAATTTTACATTATTCTGTAAAGAGATTTTGGTGTGTGTCGCTTTAGTTTCTGATTCTATAAAGAAAATTCTCAACTTGATCCATGAAAATTACACCGTAATTGCATTTTTGGTCCTTCTTGCAGTGGAAGAAGTGTTCAGTTTTGTTACTCAAAGATGCATTGTGTAATTTTACTAGTGGAAGGTCCATCAAATGCTCCATGGTCATTGCTCTGCTTGGAATGTTCCACAGTATGACATTAAACAGCTCTACTTTGCATTCATTCGATTATAGGTGGTTTTATACCTCAAAAATACAGGCATTCTGACTTTGAGCGGGGTCACCTCTCCACAGATCTGACCTGTATCTTAGTCTAGTTTGGTCTCCATGATGGTAGAAATGTTTAATGCCATACTGTGAAACATTCCAGACCGAGCCATAACGTATCCATGGAGCAAGCAAAAGCATCTGACGGGCCCTCCACCAGAAAAGTTACACAATGCATCTTTGGGTAAAAGTATTAAAGTACCTGTTTAAAAATGTACTTAGAGTAAAAAGTCAAAAGTTAAAGTATTTCGCGTAGATTTTGGGTTCTAATAAAGCTTAAAATACAGTGATTTTTGATGAATTTTTGTGATTTTTGATGAATTTTAAATACAGTACTTTACTACTTTTACTTCATTTCGATCCATCACTGCCGTCTTGGTATACCCAGTTGTATTTTATTGTATACTTGTGTGCAGTAGTTTAAAGTAAACTTATTTCTATAACCAAATCACTACTTTACAAATGAAAAGAAGATGCCATAATATGATCAAATGAAATAGTATCTTCATTAAAAAGTATAGTAGTTTAGTAGTTGTTATTGGTTATCCACTAAAAACCACAATCTAAAAGTGTAAATATGTGTTTGTTTTGTTTTTTATGAATGAAGACAACATAGTAAACAAAGTCATATTCGACCCAGTGATATTGGAAGGACTTGTATAATATAGTATTTTAAAAGGACACTACTCTTGGGTCATTCCTCCCTTCAGACATACAGAATGGGGCAGTTCTCTCTCCTCTGGACAGTTGCGTAAGAGTCTAGACAGAGGAGTAAAGCAGAGGTCAGACTCCTCCCTCAGTCTGACCTGGAGCTCCACACATCTGCTCTGGTCTGGTCCTGGTCTGGGTCTCAGTCTATTCTACACGCTCCGTTTCATCCATGATCAGTCTGGCACCTTGTCACTTAAAAGCAGACACTGATTTTCCCCAAGGTGACAAAGACGGTTTTCTTAAAGGTCCTATATTACGCAAAATGGAATCTTGTGAGCTTTAAGTCGTGTTCCAATGTTGTTACCTCTTCAAAAACTGATCCGGAGTTGTGTGTTGTTTTATTCACACGTATCTGAGTACCCCATCATTTTGAGTGTGTCTACATCTCCAGACTTCAAAATGCTCTGTGCCACCTTGTGATGTCAAGAAGCAGTAGTTTTAAAGTTAACAGCAACCTTTTAACTTAAGTTCAGTAGAGATTGGCAATTCCAGGACTGAAATCATCCAAATAATTCTAAGACAGTGGAGCACTTCCTGTAATACCACATTTTCAGTCTGGGAAAAGAACTCAGCATAAATGTGCAGGGTTTGTGTGTTAAACATGTGTGAATGAGGGGGAAACATTTTAACACAGATCGGGAAAAGGCGTAGTATGGGCTCTTTAAAATTCAAACTGAGCCGTATTCCTCATCACTACTTAAGCAACTTAGTGTAGTTTATGCATTACTGCCCTACAAAGGCAAAGGATCTTAACTGAGAGTGTGAAACTGAGAACAATGACTTCAAAGTTTCTGTTTCCCAAAATTTGATGACTAGTTGCTATAATGTAGAAATATTTGTGTGCAAAAAAATTGGCAGTTTCTGTACTCTGCCTTTGTATCATGAGCCAAAAATAAGGAGTCATGCAAAGACAAAAAGCAGTGACTGACATGATCATTATTTGCTTGATTCATTATAAGAACTTTTCAACTATTCATTATGGAGTTTGTTTGAAATGATACAGAAGAGCTTTGGGTTTCCTGTTTATGATCAGGATCATGCAGCGACACTTACACAGTTAAACAGTTTGACACACAAGTTACTTTGCAGTATAGTGTGTACAGTATGAATACACACACCAAATGCTTTCACTTTAAAGATAATTGAAGTATAATTCAATACAAAGGTTTATTTATTGAATGTGTTAAGACTCTGTGCCAAGGCCCCAACAAAAAGAAGGAGGTGAGAGGTTGGATTTCAAAATAAAATATATTTATTAACTAAATCACAAACAAAACACACACTGTTTCTTTTTGCCTTTGCACAACTCCTTATTTTTGGCACATGATACAAAGGCAGAGTACAGGAACTGGTCAAGATCAATTTTGAGCATTTTTCACGGTATTTATTCACATGATAAAGGAGGTCTCCAATACAAACAAAATTACAGGAACTCATTTTTGACCAAACTTGATGTTACGGCGTTCTGTCTTTGTAGGGTAGATTCAGTCACTCTGTAGCTACAATAATCCGTATTTGGAAAGTTTACTGTACACCACATGCCCTTCCAATCACAGCCAGTCACAAATATACAGAACATATTGTTATTTGAGTGGGCAACGTAGGGGAAGTGTATTGCACATGTACACAATGACAGGTTTTGACCTGCATGGTGACGACAGAAGAAGACTTAACTTACTACATCACCTCTGCCTCCAATACCACTAAAAATATGAGGAAAATAGAAGTAAAAATGTATTATTAATGTTTTGATTTTCTTCTCTTGTCAGGTCAGCCTGTGGCCCGCTCCACCCCAGTCCACCACACCCAGCCCTGTCGGACCCAGCCGGGCAGCGGGCACCTCCGGAATGGCACCAAAGCACACTGCCCGCATCACACGCACTCCTCTTCCCACCACAACCACCAAACCCACACCCCCCTCACGCACTCCATCCAGGCCAACGGGATGCGCAACGGAGGCCCTCACCCCAAACTGGGCTCTCTTCCGCGGGGAGGTTCGTCCACGTCGTCCTCCTCGTCGGCTGGTCCCAGGCACTCCTCCAGGAAGCTCCAGTCCAACCCCTCCATCACGTCCCAGAGCAGCAAGAGGAGCAAGAGCAGCTCCAAGAGTAACAGCTCACAGATCCCCACAGAGGCCCAGGACGGTGAGGCCAAGGCGGGGCAAGGGAGCAGGTGGAGGGCATGGGTTGGGGGTGTAGTAGAAACTTTACATGAAAGAGTCTGTTCAGGTTACTTAAAATCTCATACTCACGCATTCAAATGTGTGAACCAAATGTATGTTTAGTTACTAACAGTGGCTCCACAATGTTAGTTTGATACATCAGACGGTTTCACTTCGTAGAAACCGTCCTCACAGCGTTAGAATTTGTTCGCTTGACAGTTGGTGTGTACTTTTTAAAATTTTACCATTCACAAACATTCTCTTTCTTCCGGCTTTAAATCCTTGATCTCAGGAATCGTTGCCAACACAGAATACATGGCTCTTCACTGATTGGATGGTGCCTGAACTCGCACTTCCAGGGTTTTTGTGAACCATCTAGTGTATTCTGATTCCTGACCTAGTCGCTGGAGAGAAATGAAATTGAGCGGAGGCACTAGGTGGCACCAGCCTGGCTAGCACAACGTTGCACTCAAAACAAAATTGCAATTTCAGTTGGCATAATTATCAAATCACAAAGGCTTCAATTACTGAGATAATTTTATTTAAAAAAATCTTGCACTTGTTAGCAGTTTAGACATCTACAAACGGAAATGCATGTGATTCTTGTTCTTTTGTTCTTGCATCTTCTTATATTTCAGTCTTCTCTCAAATTTGAATGTGCCTGCAGTTGTTTACGTTATGAAGCCTCAACAGAATCCTACTAATAAAAAAGAGCTGTGTTTCATCACAGCTCGCTAACAGTTTGCTGACAGAACAAAGTGCAAAAGCCATGTATATTTATCTTTGACAAAAGACTGAATAATTGCAATCATTTCTCGTCCAATTATATTATGAAATCATGGTTGTAGCTGCCAATATCTGTCTTTGCAAATGATTTATGTTGATGGATGTTGACGTAATGTCTGATTTTATTGTCTATACAAAACCACAATATAACTAGTTTAGAAAAGATAGAACTTTGCTTATTTCATTATTCACTAGATAATAAGATAATAAGATAACAAATACATTTTAAGTAATTGATACTTTGCGGTGACATCACTCTGGGGGTGTATTTCTGTGGTGAAATGCTTTACTATGGTGACACAATACACATTAGTGGCTACCAAAAAAGTTTTTAGATAATCTGAAAACTCAAGAATATGTACAAAATTGATTTATGATTGATTTATGTATTTATTTTGGGAAAGTAAGAAATGTACATTCTTTTACAATAGAACACATAACATGAATGAAATCACAGCAGAAATAACAACAACAAAAAAGTATTATTATTATTATTATTTGAATGGCCCAAAAAGGATTTAAACAACACATTTTCAGGAGCTTGTGATCAATACAAGTGTTACTGGTCCTGTTTAGTTGTTTGATTTTCAACAAAATGGTGAGAGGGATTCACTGACTGTAATTTTATGTGTGAAAGACTTTTTTTAAGTGTACAAATCTGCTCATCTGTTGTAGTTCCAACCAAGTCAGCTTTCGTCTTCTTTCTGCTCCGACTCAGTTAAAATAAAGCTTAGATTAAGTCTATTTTAAAGGGACAGTACGGAATTTTGGACATAGGGCCTCATTTCCCTAGTGAGCCAGAGTGTTAGAGACGTGTGGAGACACTTTTTTAAAATATTCCATCCAGTCCTTGTATTTGCAGAGGTCGCTGGTGCTAGGCTAGTGCATGTCAATAGCCATAGTTATCCTGCCACTAAAAACAGTTTTACCCACTCCACTAAACACCCGAAGAAAATCTATTATTACACCAGACTGTCCATGTGAATGTCGGTGTTGATAGAATAATGTTTGAAATAAAACTAACCTTGCAACCTTGGATGTTGAGGGACTATTTTCTCAGCAGCAGCGCAAGTTTACTTTGCCGGTAAGATAGGTGCTAGGTGATATCAGTCCGCCGCTGCCGAGCTTTCTATCAGGAAGTACAAATCGCTGCTGCTGCTCAGACATAAATCCTTCAAATGTAAGGTTGATTTTACTTTAGTCTTGTGTAATAATAGATTTGCTTCAGGTGTTTTGTGGAGTGGGTAAGACTGCTTTTAGTGCCAGGCTAACTATGGCCATTGACATGCACTAGCCTAGCCCCAGCGATCCTCTGCAAATACAAGGACAGGATGGAATTTTTAAAAAAGTGTCTCCACACGTCTCCAACACTCTGGTTCACAAGGAAAAGAGGCCCTATGTCTAAAATTCCAGACTGTCCCTTTAAGTAACAGAGCTTGTAACAGTGTAGTGCTTTCAGTTAGCATCACACCCCCAGGGAATGTTGATGACGGAATGTTGCTCGTCTGCAGTATCAAAATTACAAGTATTTCAAGTATTAATATTCCAAAGTCCATTAAACCTCCCTCTCGTCTCTCCTCAGACTGCTGCGTGCACTGCATCCTGGCGTGTCTCTTCTGCGAGTTCTTGACGCTGTGTAACATCGTGTTGGACTGCGCCACCTGCGGGTCGTGTGCGGGGGACGACTCGTGCTTCTGCTGCTGCTGCGCCTCAGAGGAGTGTGGGGACTGTGACCTGCCCTGTGACATGGACTGTGGGATCATCGACGCCTGCTGCGAGTCCGCCGACTGTCTGGAGATCTGCATGGAGTGCTGTAGCCTCTGCTTCTCCTCCTGAGGACCACCGGGATCTGAGCGATAAGGGGTCTTCTCAACTGAGCTACCGGGATTAACGTGAACCAAAGTACGACGAAGATGCTTAAGTCTTCTCGTTCAAGCCCAGTTAATGCCAAGTTTACAGAAGCGATGGTTTTGAGAGCTCGCCCTGTAAGACCATGCAATCTTCTTGGAAAAAAAAGTTGTCTTCTAGTTCAAAATTGTCTTCTAGTTCATTTTTCTATCATCAAAAGGCAAATTTGATTCATTGATAAAGTTGCATGGTTTATTCCGGACTCTGTGATCGAGACAAAGTATGATGAAGATACAAGTCTTGTTGGTCAAGACCAGTTAAGTTCCAAGTTTACAGAAGCAATGGTTTTGAGAGCTCTCCATGTGAGACCAATCAAGCTTCATGGAAAAAAAAAAAAAGTTGTCTTCAAGTTCAGTTTTCCATCATCAAAAGGCATACTGAAGCTATTGAAATCTAGCTTCTCCACCTCCTCCAAACACACTTTACTGATGGTTTATTCTTGACTGCTCGATCAAATTAAGTTGGAGCGGTGTAGATCAAAGTATGACGAAGACGCATAAGTCTTATCGGTCAAGACTTGTCATTCAGGTATCCATCAGGTCATAAGTGATGAATTTGGAGCTATTCAAATCTAGCTTCTCCATTCGAGACTTTGCACACATCCATAAAGTTTCTAGGTAACTCAAATCAGTCAATCAACTTTGACTGTGTGATCGAGATGAAGACGCGCAAGTTTTATCGGTCAAGCCCAGTTTACAGAAGCAATCCTTTTGAGAGCTCTCCATGTGAGACAATGGAAAAAGTTGGAAGTTTTATTCTGTATTGACTGAGGGATCGGGATTAACTTGAAGTATTATCAAAAGACGACAAAAATGCACATCTTCAAATTTTCCATAAGGTCATTTGTGATGAATTTGAGAGCTGTTTGAATCCAGCTTCTCCGCCTGGGACTAAACACACGTCATCGATAAAGTTTCTAGGTAACTCAAATCAATCAATAAATAAACTTTGGCTGTGTGATCAAGATTAAGATGGACCAGTGTAGAACCAAAGTATGACGAAGATGCATAAGTCTCATCGGTCAAGCCAAGTTTACAGAAGCGTTCGTTTTGAGAGCTCTCCGTGTGAGATCAAACAAGCTTCATGGAAAAAGTTGGTTTGGAATTTACTTGGAAGAGTACGACATCAAATCATGGCAAAGTTCAACACGTCGTCTTAAGAGGGAATGTGATAACCCCTTGTGTCCAACTGACCTAGAAAGCATTTGTCAGCTATAAGGAACATCAACTGTTCACCAAGCCTTCCGAAGCCAACAGGTCTATGCACAAACACAGAAACAACAAAATACCAAAGATTCACTAACATGTCGAAATCTAGGTTTGACATACTGTATAGCTAGTGAAATTTCTGGTTCAACTTTCAAGCCTTTTCAAATATTTTGGTTGGGCTAAAACTTGGACTTACTTAACACTAGACAAGGTGTTTTTTTGTGCAGAGAATTCATTACAAAAATAAGACTGTTCTGTAGAGTCTATGGACATTTTCAAACAGCCTGGTTGCGATTTGCACTCTTTTCCTTCAACTTACAAGTATTTCTGGTCTTTTTTGAAATTTCCTTAACAATAAAAGGACTTGTATTAGCGACTGCGTGAGGTCGACATTACTGCAATGCTTTCAATGCAATTTAGGAACAGAAGTCTCGCCTACCTTTTTCTTTTTGTTGTTTTGGTTTTCATAACACAGCCTATTGCACTCCCAAGCCTTCATCGAACAAGCAGCAAGAAGCTTTTACTCCCTGGAACAAATGACTAACCTAAAATGCACTTGAGTCGGTTAGAATTCTACATTTTTGAAAATTCATACTTGATAGTTAACTATTAAGTTCTGCAGAGAAGTTTTTTTTTTTTTTTACAAAAGATGTACCCGCTTCATCCCTAAAATATCCAAGAATGATAACCTTAACAATACTGACAATTGGAAACAACACTGGGGCTGCTATCTACGAAGGATGGGACAAGATCTAGAGTCACAAGATCTTGCGAGACAAAATTGTGCACACAAGTGAAAAATTATCTCATGAGATTTTCTTTCCGTAATTGAATTGAATTTGGATTGGACAAAACAGTTAAGTGCTAGTGAGTTACACCTTGTTGAGAGTTGTATTTTCAAAACACTGTGCTATAATGACAACAAAAGTATTAAATATAATAAATATAAACAATTCTTGTACAAAGTAAGCTGGATTGGACAATTTATTTATTGCAAATCTTTCAAACTCTTGTTTTGTCTCATTCTCGTAGACCTCGTAGTCTTTATACTTTGACAACTTGGCTTTACAGTTAAAAATTTCAGAAAATCCATTCTTGACACTGAGATTTGTTGAAACCTTGCGAGAAATTTTAACTTTTTCACAACTGATAACAACATTTAAAATGCAAATGTACGTTTTTTGGTTTGGACATCGCGGCTTCCCCGTCAATGTTATTTGCAAGGACTGTTTTTAAAGAAGGACTACATGGGAGAAAAACTGACATATTTCAAATCAAATCATCATAAAACCTTCTATTACAGGGAATCTTCTTGTGCCTTTTTGACTGACTGGAACTATTTGGAGCGTTCAAATTGACCTCTAAAGGCAAATGAGAAAATGGGCTTCTTTTAACTGGATTTAGATAAGAGCAAAGACCTATAATGGAAAAATGGCTTCTTAGATCTTGGTTTAGTCTCCACAAGGTTATTTCCATTCACTCGCAGTGGCTTTTGGGACAATGGTGGGTGAATTGGCCACTGTCTGCTTATGTCCTTGTTTGCAACCTACAAGAAATAGGAACTTGCTGGTGGCTTGTTGCAATAGAAGAGACTGAAATAGACTTATTCAGAGACAATGTTGCAATGGATTCCTGATACTGGATCGTAGACTTTGCGAAAATTGGAACAAAAGACTGTTTCAAATTTCGATTGTGTTTTTTTTTTTTTTTTTTTTGTGGACTTTCTGTGCCTTTTTTTCATTTTGATTTGCTATACACTGCAAAAAAAGATTATCTGCATCAGGTGAAATTACTAGAATTTCAAATGCTTAACTTGATTTCAGTAAGTTTGACGAACATGGATTTATTAAGTTTGTCTCGAGGTATTTAGTCCTGTCACAATAACAAATTTAAAAGTGCCTAATTACCTAATATTATGCTATTTTCTATGTTATAATGTTGTTTCCTCATCACAAACATACCTGGATTTGTGATAGTTTCAGCTCTGGAATTGTCAATCTACTGAAATAAAGGTAAAAGGTAACTTGAAAACTACCACTGCATGACATCACAAGGTGGTATTTTGGAGATGTAGACAGTGAATGAAACAGAACACAACTCTAGGTATGTTTTTGATGAACATTATAACATGGCTTAAAGCTCACAAGGACCTTTAAGTAAATATAAACTATAAACTAAATGAAACCAAACCGGAAATTCTAAATGTAAAAAATTAGCTGCAATAAACAACAGAATGTGTCATAGAAGTTCCTAATTCATATTTCTACAGCTCAAATCTGATCATAGTACGTAATAATAACAAAAAGCTTCCCAGTACTACAAACTAGAGGTCTGCATGGAACAGAATTTTTAGTCCCGCTCGCGCAAAGTATACTAATTTTCAGTCACTCTCCTGCCCGCATCTGTGATATTTTGTCCCGCTCCCGCCCTCAAATCTCGAAGATGGGGACGTTCGCTTTCTCAAGCTCTACCAAACACGGAGGAGCTGAAAGGAATTGTCTAAAACTGTGGTCCCTAACCTTTTTTGCACCACGGACCAGTTTTATATCAGACAATATTTCGCAGACTGGAATGAAATGAGTTGTGTGTGGGTGGAGGTGCGGTGGGCGGTCCGGTGGCATGATTAAGTCCTGGCTAAATCCTGTTTTAGTCCAGGTTTTATCCCAGTTTTTCTGGTTTAGTTCTAGTTTAGTTCTGGTTTAGTGCGCGATGTACGTGGGGGGGTTGGAGGCGGTCTGCGCAACGTATGGCAGGGGGACGATCTGCGTGGCATACATGTTAGTGTGCGGGTCTGCAGCTTATCATCTCACCCGCCCGCTCCCGCATTGTGCAGTCCCGCTCCCGCCCGCCATCCGCAATGAGTTTTCAAAATATGTCCCGCGCCACACTGCTTTGCGTCGGGTCCCACAGGAGTGCAGGGCTCTACTACAAACCCCCCACCCAAAAAAATAGTGTTCCATGTATCATCAAATGAATTATTATTATGTCATTATAGTTATTATTGTGACAGGCCTAAAGGTATTTCATTGTTATTTCAACACGTGTTCTTATTTAAAACTAAACTGTATTAGTAAGAAATTGCACTTAAGAAGTTAACTTGATATAAATATAAAAAGAAATTGACCAAATTACTTACAATACCAGTTGAAACTTGTAAAAAATATTGATATTGAAATGATCAGATTCAATTTCAGCTCATATGGATAGTCTTTTTTGCAGTGAAGGCGTTGCCATCTAGATTTCTTGTACCAAAAAACCTGTATTAATCCTTGTTTTGTAGATTTTAGTTAAAGATATTTTGCATTCCTTCCGACCAATGTGAAAAACTCCTATATCTTATGCCTTATCAGGTCGCCGTCTCCTGGAAAGTTAATTTAATTCAGCGGAAAATCTCACAATGTTATGCACACTTCGTTCTATATGCGTCTTGTATAAATGGTACGTTTTTGATAACAGAAATTTCATATGCCCGAATGCATAGCCTAGCCGCATTTCAATACCTCCCGTGTATTGCCTACCAGATCTGTTGCGCATTTAAAATAACTTGATACCAATCTGGCTGGGACCAATAATAAGAAACAGTATTATTTGTGCAATCATATTTTTCATGGAAATACCAAAGAGTTTGACTAGAGCTAAGTTTTCTATAGCCTGTAATTACTTGTTCGTGCGGCAGTGGTTTTACATAAAGCCCTTTTATGGGAAATCTAACACTGTTTAATATAAATATACAATAATGCAGGGTTCTTTCAATGGGAAAAAGTGGTATGTACTATCAAATCCAATAAGCATGAAGGGTCTGTAACTCAAACTCCAAGTAAGTAAAGTAAATAATAGCAATACATTTTACATTTAGTGCCAAAAAATTTACGTCTGTTTTTTTTTAATAGTGGTAGAGTTTTTATTCAGATTATTGGAAGACTAAAAAGGGTAAAGGTCCTATTATTAGTCTGTCTACACCTCCAAAGCTCAAAATGCTCCGTTCCACCTTGTGATGTCATGTAGTGCTGGTTTTCAAGTTAACATTTTTACCTTTTGTGTAGTAGAGATGGCTAATTCCAGGGCTGAAGCAATACAAATGATTCTAGTGAAGGTGTATGGAGTTTAAAAACAAAGTGGAGTGCTTCCTGTTTTACCACATGACATCACAAGGTGGAACAGTTTCAGTTTAAGAGCGTAAAATGGGCCCTTTAACCAGTCTCCACCTCTGCCTTGTCCACCTTTATAGTAAATTCTTCTTTGTAATTCTTATATTGATTTTAATGAGAAAACAAACTACCGTAAATTCCAAACTATAAGCTGCTACTTCTTTCTCACACTTTGAATCCTGTGGCCAATAAAGATGCGGTGAATGTATGGATGAATTCTTAGTTAGTCACATTGTCCATTCATATATATGGTCTATGGTTTGGCAACACACCGGATACATGCAGCCTGAGTGCAGAAAACACTGCTGTTTGTGCAGGTAACACATGGTAACAGCGATATTGTCAGAGCACTCAAACAGTTTATCTCCCTGTGATAAAATAAGTTATGATGTTAAATGAACATTAGTGAGGGGGATATGTCTTACCCGTTTGCGTAAATGATGACAAGAACTGTCTCAAACGTCAGTAGTCGGACATCCACTCATACCTGATTGATAAAACTAGCCCCGCCCCCAAGAGTCTGAAA